TGTACTGCTAGAGTCATTCTCAAAACTATTTTGTAAACTTTATCATTAGTTCGAATATTTTGGAGAATGACTTTGCAGGAGTGACAGAATTGCGTAAACATGGGCTTGGTTTGATTGAGGTTTGAGCGGCAGGTAGAATATTCCTATTAACATGCATGGCCCAACACTGTACACGATTTGTAAGATTATGGATTTATGCATGTGCTCAGTGTCAGCTCTGTAATAGTATTTGTCGCCTGACTTTTCATGTGACTCGTCTTGTGCCAATTAACTTGTGGTCCATACAGAATGTACGCCTTTTGAAGCCCAATACCACACTTTTGCCCAATAACAATAGGATGTTGTATTGATTGTCATTTGACTGTCTTTTTAACATGCCAAAGACGGTCACTAAATGACCATCACTGCACACCAGCCAAGTGAAAAGTTTGGCCGATTGTACTCTCCAAGAGTGAAAGGTTAAGAAACGTTTTGGCTTCCCACCCGCTAATGTTTGAATCATAAGGGCTACCAATTTTCATACCACAAAATTCCCCCAAACCTTATTGACCAAAATGTTTATTTTTTATTTTTTATACAATTCCGTACCTATGACCTATTTATCTTTAATCTACATTAAATTGAATTACTTGGATTACTCAAGTTTAAGGTCCCAGTACAAAGCATTACGCTGGTGCGCTCCAACTTGTTTTTGATGCTAATCTTTTGAATACATGTTTTCCAAAATGATACCGCGATTATTCCATCCGCATGTTTTGTCCAATAGTGTGTTCCACAGGTGACTGGGTGCACTGGGTCTGGTGAGTGTCAGGATGCAGCTGTTTTTAATGACTGAGGGTCTGATGGTGGCAGTGGGAACATGACACAGCCCTTTGCCCTGGCCCTGTGTTGTTTTAGTCCCTTTGTGGTTAGACGAACTCCTCCTCCATCTGCATCTGCTCAACCACACCACCAAACCAGCCAGTCCAGCGTAAAACAGGAAACCACACAACAACAAGTGTAAGCTCTTCCACGCCAGAAATTAGCTCTCACAATACGCCTGAGACATGCAGTATTTTCAACGGTCTACATTGGTATCAACAACTCGTGCTTTTCCTGCCTTGAAATCATTCACATCTGTATAGCTCCAAAATCGTTGCTCATTCAAAGTAAAATCCACACTAAAATGAAATATTTGGTTTCTTTTAACACTTATAGCAAAATTGAGTCCTTCTACTCCTCCTTGGTTCTGTGGATATTGTAATATTTTGTCTCTTTCCGCCCTAATGCATTAAATTCCGGTCAATTTTCATGGAGAACTCACAAACCAAAGGCTGTTAAGTTTGAATCATGCAGATAAAAAAGGCTACATATAATGTCTCTTGGTGGCATTGTGGTTTGCGCTTGTGCTTCTCGTCAAAGTCCTGGGTTCAATTGCACCTCCAGATGGGTCTTTCTGTGTGGAGTTTGCATCTTCTCCCTGTGTTTGCATCGGTTTCCTACCTGGATGCTCTGGTTCAGTTTCTACTTCCCTTACTATAGCAGAAAGTGGTTGTGCATGTTTACATCCAATCCCCCTCAAGGCTACAATCTGGCGAGGTTCATTTACTGCACACCCCAGATCTTTTACTAAACCTTATTAACACTCGATCACTCCCTGCGTTGGCTGCTATAGACATTTGTGCAAAGCGATTTCCGTGTCCTCAACTCTGCGATCTGTGATAGAATCATCCGTCTAGTGGACAATGGAACTGATGAGAGACCCTTTTGAACCCAGACCCTTCTGCATTTGAACATAACTTTTTAAAAATGCAGGAAGGTGGATGGTCAGGCAAGGGGGTCATGGAGGTCTATCTTGTGCGTGTGGCTTTTCTATCAAACTTCATAAAATAGCAGGTGGATTTGCAGCTTTATTAAACAGAGTCGGGGGGCTTACCCTGTCTCCTGTACCACCACGACAAATGACTGTACGCTGTGGATTGGAGCATTCTTTACATTCCTCATAAAAATCTCAGAGGGGCTAAAGCTGCGGTAACTATGGCCTGGGCCTTTGTCTAAAGATGGAATGGTCAAATGAAATTGTTTCTAATGACAACAGGTCTACTGTCCAAGGAAGAGAACGGCTTTTCTAGTACGTTGTATGCATAAATGTCTTCGTAACCCATTGATTTTGGAATTGAATCATTTTTGGAAGTGATTTTATCATTTATTTTTTATAAAGATTTTTATTTTTATTTTGAACACTTTTCTTCAATGTGTAAAATATAGTACTTAATTGTAAATTACTCAAGGTTCTAAGTGTGATTGAGAGTACACATGGCAGATATTAGCAAAACAGTATCAGTTATCAGTATGATGCATTAAATAAATGTAATGTTTTTTTTGGAAAAGGGACAGATACAAAAGCAAGACAACCTACAGCATAGTCCAATACATGAAAAATTTTGTCACAAACATGGTGGAAGATTCATGAACATTTACTAAGCTCCACAGCTGTTTTTATGGGTGTGTAATGGCTTTACCCTCAGGCCTAGCTCCTGATGTGCCTCTGTCTCTGTAACGTACAGACGGTTGAAGCTTCAACAGATGAAGCTAACAATCTACAATGCTCTTGATTTACCGTTCAATCTACGTTCCCGTTGTCACTTTTTATCATGAGTAATAACAAGGACAAGATTGCAGATACAGTCGTAATGAGTTTCCTCCGCAGAGTGGCTGAGGAGGATCCCCCTCAAAGATGGAGTTAGGAGGCCAGCCACACTGGAGGAGCTTAGAGTAGAGCTGCTGCTTCTCCACGTCAAGAGACGCTGAGCTGGAGAAAGTATGCATGGTTGCCACTGCAAACCGGCAAAGGATAAAGCAGAAGATAATGGTCAGCTTCGAAACAACTACTAAAGTGTTCTATGGTCATGTTTCTATACAAAATCCATGACAACATATTATCTGAGTAGTTGAGTATTCTGGAAAAGCTGATAAGGATCAGAATGTCCTGAAAATCCTCAAATCAAAGTTACCCAGATACACATATATTTTGTTAACTTAGTTTCCAAAAAAGAACAACTTCTAATCTAGATTGAAATCACAAAAACACAGTCATAAGAACAGTCCAGAGAACAGCATGTTCCTTTTGCCTGATTTCTCATTGGACCATCATGTCAAACCAATATTCAACAACCTCCACTCCTCCTCCTTCCTCTGGCAGTGTTTTCAAGGTGCACCAAACTGTCTCTAGGCGTATTTTTAAACTTTTCAGGTTGACCCTTTCTCTGTGGTATGCGCCAATTACAATATTTTTTCCACCTCCGGACGTGCACCTTGACACTGACTCAAGGCGACTGCTTTAAACTTTTATTATTCAAATAGTTAATTGTGATTTCTTTCTTTTCTTTTCTTTTTTTATTAAAAGGGAAATTACAGTTTGTGATAAGAGGACTGACGGGTAAGTGAGTAAAAGAGGTTAAAGCACTGGGAGAATGTGATTATAATCCTGCTGAAAATTGACTGACTGAGTCAACAGCATGGTATAAAATTATCTAGACACTTTGTGCGTTCCATCTGAAAAGTAATTCTCGGTTCTTTGAGAGTTATTCCAATTCTACGGAGTGATCCAAGTCAATAACTAGTTCCATCATCTACCGAAACAGTCTTTTCATAGGCATCAGTTCTGATTTGGACGGCTGCGTCCCATCTCAGGATGCAGACGGTTCAGAGATGTTCATGTGAGAGGTTTTCTGTGACAGCTTTGGCCTTTAAGAGCTTTTCTCTTCTGTTTTTATTCTCCTGTTTTGCTCATTAAAAACAGAGGCACCAGGACGTTGTGTTATGATATCTTTATCTTGTGTGTATGTAAAAAGCTGCATATGTAAACATACGCTTTTATCTCGTCCCCGGTCCACTGGGTAAACTCTCCAATAGATTGAGTGTTTATCTGACACTGATCATTTGTTATTACAGTGGAGTACAAAGAACAGTGATGAACCGAGTTTCCTTGAATTCTCTCAAAGTTTGTGTGATGTCATTATAAAGGACAATCCAATTTAGATTTGCTTTTAATCATTTCATATGGAGCCATATGCTACTGTTTCCTTCATCTACAGCTAAAATGGGATATACCACAAAAGCATGTCAATGTTTAGAAACAATGTAAAGAGACTATAAAGTAAAAAATGGGTATAGTGACCAAGCAGTGGATTGATTGCTGAACTATTTTTATTTTAACTCTTGTTTACAGTGTCCTGGGGTGAAATTTGATTTTACATAAAAATGCGTTATTTTATATTTATTTTAATGTTGAAGTGACAAATGTTGCTCTGCTACTAAAATCTCCCCCAATTGCAAGGGAACGGTACGTCTTCTGCTCCACATCCAGGAGACATCCCAATCAGAGTGACCACTTGATGCTGAGAGGCAAGGGCTCTACTCTGAGCTCAGCCACACATGACTATTAACTCTACACCACAGTCTGATGATAGCGACTGCACACACTGCACTGATCTGTCTTACAATCATCATTAGGCTGAGATACTGTACTTCTATAAATCCAATAGTCTTTAAGTTCTGTTGTTCTGAAGCCACATTCAAGTCATGGCCAACGACTGAAGAGTGCAACCAGCTACCAAAAGAGCAGTCACTATGTTTCCATAGATTTTTTATGGTGGTGACAAGTCGATGGCCAATGTAATGTTTAAATATATAATAGGAAAAATATAATATTCAAATACCATACTGTGAATTCTGTTATGCGAATTTTCTTTGTTCGCCCCATGTAGTGCCTGCCCTGTCCAATCTGTTTCTCCTCTTTCACCAATGTTTACCTTTTCGTTTGAAATCTCCAAAAGCTCTCTCTTTCTCTTGAGTTTATGAGTCCTGGTTCCAGTGCGGGGGGTAAGTCACTCTCCCTCCTCTGGCTCTGCTCTTGTGTAAACAAAGGTGTGTTAATGGAGGCTAGTGGATGGGAGCCTGGGTGGTTTGGTGCTTTTAAGTTGAAAATGTCTCTAATGACCTAAACGTCTGTGTTTCAGATGAGAAGCCGGTGCAAGAGGAGGACTGGGTGGTGTGCCAGCATCCAGAGTGCTCCGAGCGCAGGAGGGCCTCAAAGGTGAGACTCCACCACTGTCGGCTGAGCTACTAAAGGGACAATGAAAAGTAAAATAGACTTTCACGAGATTTTCCCCTGGCTCACACTGGTGCAGTCTTCCTGAACAACAAAAAGTCACGATCGAGGAGTGCGGATGTACTGGTGAAGGGGCAAGACCAAAATCACCATCCTGAATGGCCAGTGTGAGCCAGGGGTCTGACTTTAATAGTGCGCATTGTTTGACCCAAAGTTTCACATAGCTTTAGGGGCGTAATAACGTCTCATGATTTTGTTTGATTCACGGTGCAGAAGTCACAATTCATTATTAAAATATCGATGATGCGACTGCCCTGTCCCTCTGAGCACAGTGGAGAAAAGTGTGTGTGGTCACAGTGTTAAATATCTGCTTCTATGAAGTTGTTTCAGAGGCTCTTTGAATAGAAAGTCAGTGAACAGTTTCAGTGAGTCGCTGAGTTTTGATTACGCCGGACTGATTTAAGTGGAAGACCTGAGAAGAGGGCATTGCTATAATCTATAGACTTTTGACTTGAATGTTTTGTGAGTGGACACTTCAATTTGGTATATTGAAACATACATTCTGTCAAACTTATCCAGGTAACAAAACATTTGCAGACTGAAATCAGGCTGACTGGTGTCTATATTGAAGTTTTTCTACTGGGCAAAGTATTTTTTTTTTTTTTTGATTCAAGTGAAGATCATAGACAGCTGCTGGCAGGAAATGAGACCAGCTTCGGTCCTGGGATGAACCTGGAGAAGGAAGTTGTGTTCAGAGAGACCTAATTTATGGAGCGTTTGAGCATATAAAGAACATTTTATTACCTCTGTGTAAACACAACATGCTTTAAAGTATGAAAATGGCAAGTTGAACCACCTCCTCCCTTTCACATTAAAACTCCCTGTGGCCGAGAAACTGCTAGAAACTTTATATTTTAATAAAAAAGGCAAGCAAAACATTTATACATTCAATTTGTGAATTTTATAAAGCAATATACATAGCATGTTTAATTCAACATGCTGATCTCCTTTAAAGTAACTTACAGTTTGCGTTATAAAGTTAAGTGTTGCTATGGTGACCTCGTAGGCGGACTGACATGGAGCCTGTAATTTAACATGAGGTTTCAACGATATTAATTAACAGTGGTTTGCATTGGAATCCTCCCTGACCATGGTACAAAAAGCACTGTCTTCTTTAACGTCACAGTGTGAATGCATAACGTATTGCATTGTCTTTGTGCGCTGGTGATGGCGTTATGAATCTGTCTGAAGAGGGCTCCAAAACATGTTGACCTGGTAATATATCCAAGTTGTGTTTCAAAAGAACCATAACAAACTTTTTATTACAACAAGACAATATGAACCTTTTTGAATCGTGTCTGCCTTTAGTGTTGTGATCCCCTTCAGCCATTGTCTCCAGAGACTGGACAGTGGACATAATCTGTTTTAGACTGAGCTGAGGAGACATGAGCCAGACTGTGGCCTTAAAAGACCAACGCACTGCAAAAAAGACATCCACGTGACTAAAACTAAAACTTCAACTACAAGTATTATTCACCTTTTTAAATTATTTTGTTCTTTTCACATTTTCTCTGACCATAATTTCCCTGTCTATTTCAACATGTTGTACCTTGTTTTTGAACATGTTCTAAATTGACTTTGAGTGCACAGGAAAGCACACAATAAATAAAGTTAGAAATGAAAAGAAATGCATGCCCTGTTGATCAAGTAAAAGCTCTTGCCTTGCAGACAGATGGCAGGAGTTTGGCGTTTGCATGTTCTCCTGCATGCTCTCCCTGGTTTCCTCTACAGCTAAAAAAGAAAAGGAAAATGGGTTACTAAGGGCTAGGGGAACGGTCAATGAAACAGTCCTACTTCTGTCTGCCGCGGTGTCTGCAATGAATGGACAATACACATAATATTTTATTTTACAGGGCTTGTGTGGGTTCTAGGTCTGGGAAAGATGAAAAGGGACGTTCTCTATTCTCTGACTAAACACTTCCATAGTTTTCAATGTGAGATCAATTGAACCATACCTTGTGTAGCATTTTTTTTTTGCAGTGCTGCAGCTGTCCAGACTCTCATGTAGAGCAACCAGTGGCTTCAAAGAAATAATTCATTTCACAGTCTAGTGACCAGACACAACTACACACCCTTTAACACCAGCAGAGGAGCGGATTCTCTTTGGTTCATCAGGCTGCACGATTTATATTATATATACATTATACATGTTCTGTTTCTTCTAAGTATAATGTGTCGATATCATTAATTCAAGTAACTGCAGTTCAAGAAAACGGTGTAATTGTCTTCTAGCAGTCGTTGACATGTCCTTAGCACCAAGACCCCAATACGAAGTAACTTATGACTGATTTACTGATACACAATGCTCTTAAACACACATCAACATGTAACATGTCCTTTTACTATTGACAATATTGGATTTTTTAGCTTATTTTTTATGTTCTCCCATGAAGTAATGAACAATACTGTTTCAAACAATCCTTTTAATTTGACACAGTGTAAAATTTTCCTCCTCACTTTCCTCTTCACCATGACAACAGACAATATTAAAGTGTGTGTATAGGAGCTTATGCTGAGCCTCCTTTCACATAACTCTAGTCTCCAGGATGTTTTCTGTCCCATAGACCCCAGAACATCCTCCCCCCGTGGGGCCACATGCGGCGGGTCCTGTGTAATATTCAAGAACAAATGGCTTACATTATTTGTGTTCGGTTTGTCCTTCTTGGACCCGATCTTGAGAAAATGTCCCCAGGTATTTTATGTTTTAGAATCTGAAAATGTGTTGGATTTACAAGAACATTGGAATATGAGATGAACAGAATGAACACAGTAGCAGAAGTTGAAAGTTACATCCTGCTATTGAACATCTAACATCTAATTGAAGGAAGTCAGTTGTACAGAGCGTAATTGGATTGAAAAAGTCTCAAAGCAAATGTGGAAAAAACGAAAAAACGAAAACACCTCTGTTTCTGACATCATGTTTAATACATTTGAAAAAGGAATATTTATGTTTGAACCGAGCTAAAAACAACTCCAGTTCTGTTTTTGAAGAGAGAAGAATGTTCTAACACTAATTTTAGGATAAGTTTAAAGTTAGTTGTTTGCTCAAAGAGAGGAGGGAAGCCTGTGTGGGACAAACTTGATGTGACGCCACGCTCTCCTTGACACAGGTCTGAGAAGCTTATGTAAGAGGATTAGGAAAGTGACTCGTTTGCCTTTTGTGGACTAATGTATGAGCAGGAAAACAACCAAAGAAACCATTATATTGTGGACAAGGCAATAATTATGTATTTTAAGCACTATTTTATTATTATATTAGGGCTATATTATACTAATTTACTAATGACATTGGGGCTTGTTACCTTTGACCTTTTATGTTTTTTTAGACTGTAACTGGACTGGAAGTAAATGGATTATTCTCACCTATACATTTTAGAATTATAAAAGAAGAAACGAACAAATCCAATGCACACTGACATTAAATACTAATCCTTAGATAATCAGGGACTAGCCTAGCATGCCTTTTGGCCACACAAAGCCTTTTTCAGGGCACCATGCATGTACCATAGAACACAGTCTGCCAATCTATGACACATGGGATAACAATGTTTTTTTTAGATCTCAGTATTCATCTACACATTTTTTTTTGTTTAAACATTTTTTTCCCCCGCCAATATACACACATACAAGTACAATACAAAATAGGGCAGCTCATAGCAACTGTAGTATTGAGCTGCATGAATAATGTAGATTATTTTTCCTACATTTGTGTTGAGATTGATATGTTACCAGTTTATAACATGACATTTATATAATACAACATTATTTGTGTGTTTAATGAATACCATGTCTGTCTAACCAAATAACTATGATCAGTACCTTTACTATGTGCTTTCCATACTGAATGAATGGGAATCCCTATAATGAATAACTACATATTAAACTTCCCTTTGTTCCAGGATGTCACAATTCTTAACTTTCCTGGAATGGTCAGTGAATAGACCTCAGTGGGAACATGAATCATATTAAAGTACTATTATATTACATTTCTTTCACAATTGTTGCCATTGTGCAATAATGCAGACTGTTACCAGCTTTGAACAGCAGGGTGCAGTATAGGTACATTTGGATGGAAACCAACATTGGCTTGACTCTGCATTTGGCTGGCCCAGTATGTACAATCATAATCATTAGAAGAAAACTCGGTAAAATATATTCTCGTGTATACAGAACATGGATAGATGCGTGACATAAAAGACAGTATGGAAGGTAGAATGAAAATAGAATCACCCTTTACAGATTTGGCAGCACTGAAGACGGTTTTTCTTTCTTCAAAATATCTTGTGCATTAAAACTGCATGTGTTTCAAGTGCTCTGTGATTCTTGCCTCACACTGGACTGAAAGGCTCCTGTTCCCAGAGATCTTTGCTCTTGTCTTTTGCCTGCGTACCCTTATTTCAGAAACACATTCTCTCTAGAAGTGGACACGCTTTGTAATATATCATTCATGCCATTTCCCTCCATAGCTTTGACTGTGCACTTGTTATGCAACAGAGCTCAAAGGTGACTATAGCTCACTGGTTCTCAACACTTCATCTTAAGAGTAGGAGAGAAAATAAACAATAATGTAGTTTATAGTTGTTTATCCTGTTGACAATAATGGTTTAGACTTTTCATGTGTAACAAGTGTGAACATTCTTGAACAGTCATACAACAATTTCAATTACGTTAATATGCAGAGAAGTAGGTAGAAGTAAAAGTTCATATGGTATTTCTCCTTGTTTACAAATCATAGTATTATATAGAAATACAAGAGATAATGCAATTTGAGCAGTCATGGGCAAAACAACTCCTCTTTCTTACGATATTGCCCAATTATAAGTTTTTACATGAGTTTCTTTGATTGCATAATGGTGCTGCTTTGTTTTAAATCCACTGTACAGCACAGTCCTGGTTTTTGTATTCAGGATAACTTCCAATACACCTTTACTATTAGCAAAAAAGCTACTATTGTTTGT